TGTTTGTGGGCATTCGGGTGTGTTGTTTTTATGCTGACGGGCGGCGTCCTTACCAACTCCGGATTATATCTATTACATCATTAAACTTCATTTAATAACTATATGCCTGTTAAGTAGAAGATTTTAATTGTTAATAGCATTACGTTGTCGTTTTAATATTGAACACGTACACATATGCGGAACGTCCAAAGCTGATGTCCGAAGTGGTAAAAATATTAGTGTGTGATGTTGTCAGTGTACAGTGTCTTGTATCCCCTGATCCATAGGCTGGATGAGAGAGGTTGTGTTAGGAGGAAGTGCCATACACGTTATCTTGCCATCTTGTGAGGTTAACGTGTCAATTTTGGGGTGGGCAGGCACATTATCAAGCAGCAGCAAAGCCCAAACTTCGCTTGGCCTTACTTTGAGTTTCTTAACTTGATTCTCACGAACTTCCCTGCAGAACACATCATGAAACCAGGAAAGAAAGATCTCCTGTGTAAACCATGCATTCTTTGAGTTATAATATTTCACAGGCAGTCTGTCCAAGCAATGTTGCAAGGCTCTTGGTTTCTTTGATTTACCAACAATTGCACACATAATTCTGTCTGTACCATCAGCATTCGCACACATCATGGCTGACAGCCTGTCCTTGTTAACCTTACGTACGGCCTGGCACACAACCCTCACTCCTCATAGCTAGAGTTTTTTTCTGGTAAACTCCTCCAATACAGCCCAGTTTCATCTGCATTATATATTTGATAAGAATATAAATGATTTGCCAAAATGTATGTTTTTAATTTATATTTAAATGGTTCTACACTGCTTGTATTTGCGCTCAATTTTTCACTGACAATTTTCCTCTTCACATATTGTGCCTCCCTTTGAACCTTGCAACCCACTCTTCACTAGCTTGTAAATCCTCTATTCCAAGGCTTGCTGCAAACCTGTTTGCAGCATTTTGTGTTTCTGGGCTGCGAATTGTCATGCTAGCTGTGCAGTGCTCAGCAAACCATTTGTACACAGCCTCATCCAACTGTACATATGTAGAATTTTTCAAAGTTTTTCTACCATATCCTTTGCTAGTGCTTGCACCTTCACTCTCACTGGTTGAAATGTATTTCTTTTTCTTTTTGTTTCCTTATATCAGAAACAGTACTAGTGCCTATATTAAATTCCTTGGCAACACTTGAGGTCGACCGGCCATGTTCACAAAGTTGTATAACACGTAACTTGTCCCTAATTGTTAGGACAACCTTCTTCATCTTAACACCTCCAGAAAGATTGATGCTGCTACCAGACATAGTCTTGGCCAAAAATGTTTAAAGTTACTATGAAATAAAAAAGTTATTTAAAAAAATATTTCACTAATGGCGAGGCACTGTGGTATAACACGAAGAACGAGAACACATGGCTTGACCAGGCCTGGACGGGTCCAGTCGGGGCAGTGAGGAGGCACGTTATGTAGGCCGCCAGGAGGAAAAAAAAAAATCACTATTTTTTAAGGCAACTTCAGCGTGTGCAAATTGTTTTTAGGAAACGTACAGTATAGTATTTTTTATTACATAATTACTAGTATTTCTTATGATTTTGGCTATGATGAATTGTTCTAAAATTAATGGTAATTCCTGTACTGTAGTGTATAGGCCACTCCACATTCCCCTTATCCCCCCAGGTGGTCCCTCCCAACGCTTCCCTCTCTCCCAACACGACCCATCCACCCCACCCCCTCTTATACCATGCACCTCGAGCCACAGCCGTACGGGATTAATATGGTACGGCCCGCGGCCTAGCTTTCATATCCGGACAATTCACTCCTTGTCCGGCTGACTGTCCAGATAGTGCAATATCGGCAGCAAGTTAACCGGCCCAGATATTTTATCTGGACAAATACCTGATTTTCTGGCTCCTATGGACATTTTGGCCGGATATTGAGATACCTTTATCCATTCATGATTTTGGCCGTATAAGGGCGTTTTCCGCATATTCGAATCCCGGGTAATCGAGTGTCTATAGTAAGTGAGAAGGTGGTGGCGGCCAAAACTGTCAGTAGTTTCAAAGTGTTAAATGACAAAGAGTACTGGGAAGACAGAACACCACGAGCATAGCTCTCATCCTGTAACAACACTTAGATAATTACACACGAGGAGGTTAGAGGAGAGGTTAGAAGCATTAAACATGCTAAAACTAGAAGACAGAAGAAAAAGAGGTGATATGATCACTACATACAAAATAGTAACAGGAATTGATAAAATTGACAGGGAAGATTTCCTGAGACCTGGCACTTCAAGAACAAGAGGTCATAGATTTAAACTAGCTAACACAGATGCCGAAGAAATATAAGAAAATTCACCTTCGCAAATAGAGTGGTAGACGGTTGGAACAAGTTAAGTGAGAAGGTGGTGGAGGCCAAGACCGTCAGTAGTTTCAAAGCGTTATATGACAAAGAGTGCTGGGAAGACGGGACACCATGAGTGTGGCTCTCATCCTGTAACTACACTTAGGTAATTACACTTAGGTAATTACACATGGTCACACCTTTACACCTAAATTTGCTGAGACTACTAACTTTAATGAGAAACTATCTGTCACTGCTTCCTTCATGCCTGAACTTTCTCCCTCGCTCTCCTTTCTGGATCCTATGCCTTTGCTGTCTGTTCGCATTATTCGTTCTGTAATTATTACACCCTGTATTTGTCAAATCAGCCTGCTCAGATCTTGAGGTATACAGAGCACCACTTGGTTTCCGAACTTTAGTTATCCGAAACTTCCAGTTTCCCGATTGGGGTTGGGGAGTCATGCTACCCGAACAAAGTTCGGGTAGGAAGGGGTCCGCCAAGCGTCACGCCGGCTTGTGGTGGTGGGTGGGAGATGGTCCAGTTTGCCCACTGTGACTTCACAGATTCACGGCCTATTATTCCTATTATTTTGAATTGTCATAAGGCTGGAATGGTCATTCTGTGCTTTTGTTTTACATATCTGCACAATCAAGAAACATCTGTGCACCATGTCGGCTCCAAATGCACGCATTGCGTCAGTGATGGCTGACCGGTGGGTGGATGGACGATGGAGCTTAGGTGGGAGGCAGTATGAATGAGGGGGGGGAGAATCAGTGAGAGAGGGGGGGGGGAGGTAGGGAGAGATGTTAGGAGGTACGGAGATATGCTATGAGGGAGGGGGAGATAGGGAGAGATGCTAGGAGGTAGGCAGGAAGGGATGGAAGTAGTGAGAATTAGGGAGGGAAAGGCAGGCTGGCAGGCACAGGCAGGCAGGCTGGCAGGCACAGGCAGGCAGGCACAGGCAGGCAGGCACAGGCAGGCAGACAGGCAGGCAGGCAGGCAGGCAGGCTATCTTGCAGGCAGGGAGTGAGTGGTAGTCACGCGGTTGAACCGCGTGACCTTGAGAGATGGGATGTAGGGGGCGGGTGGTTTGTTGGTGGTGGGGGTGAGACCGGCTCATTCCCGAAGATAAGCCTAACACACACTACCCGTTAGCATGATGGCAGGGAGGGAGGCAAGCTGGCTGGAAAGGAAGCAGGCTGGCAGGCTGGGAAGGAGGCAGGCAGGCAGGCTGGGAAGGAGGCAGGCAGGTAGGCTGGGAAAGAGGCAGACTGGCAGGCAGGGAAGGAGGCAGGCTGGCAGGCTGGGAAGGAGGCAGGCTGGGAAGGAAGCAGGCTGGCAGGCTGGGAAGGAGGCAGGCTGGCAGGCTGGGAAGGAGGCAGGCTGGCAGGCTGGGAAGGAGGCAGGCTGGCAGGCAGGGAAGGAGGCAGGCTGGCAGGCTGGGAAGGAGGCAGGCTGGGAAGGAAGCAGGCTGGGAAGGAGGCAGGCTGGGAAGGAGGCAGGCTGGGAAGGAGGCAGGCTGGGAAGGAGGCAGGCTGGGAAGGAAGCAGGCTGGCAGGCTGGGAAGGAGGCAGGCAGGCAGGCTGGGAAGGAGGCAGGCTGGCAGGCTGGGAAGGAGGCAGGCTGGGAAGGAGGCAGGCTGGGAAGGAAGCAGGCTGGCAGGCTGGGAAGGAGGCAGGCTGGGAAGGAAGCAGGCTGGCAGGCTGGGAAGGAGGCAGGCTGGGAAGGAGGCAGGCTGGCAGGCTGGGAAGGAGGCAGGCTGGCAGGCTGGGAAGGAGGCAGGCTGGCAGGCAGGGAAGGAGGCAGGCTGGCAGGCTGGGAAGGAGGCAGGCTGGGAAGGAGGCAGGCTGGGAAGGAGGCAGGCAGGCTGGGAAGGAGGCAGGCAGGCTGGGAAGGAGGCAGGCAGGCAGGCAGGCAGGCAGGCAGGCAGGCAGGCAGGAAGCGATATATGGGTGTTGAAGTGAACCGTGAACCACGTGACCTTTGAGAGTGTGTGTGTGTGTGTGTGTGTGTGTGTGTATGGGTTTGGGGTGGGGGGTGGGGGTGGTGTGTCGGTGGTGGGGGGAGAGGGGGAGGTGTGTCGGTGGTTGGGGGAGAGGGGGAGGTGTGTCGGTGGTGGTGGGAGAGGGGGAGGTGTGTCGGTGGTGGGGGGAGAGGGGGAGGTGTGTCGGGGGTGGGGGAGGGACCGGCTGACTCCGTAAGCCTAACCACACTCCACAGACCTGTGACCCAGATTTGTTTCTTAAATGTACAGTACATCATCGTATATTTTAGGCAGGATGTTCCTGCAGGCTGGCAGGAAACATCCAGAGGATGTTTGCCAGACGTCTTAATAATCAGTTAGGAACAATTAAGGACTTTTATAAAGCGGATCAGGACTTCACTTATTGATGAGTACAAACAAAACACGGTCGCATTTACGCCATGAACCTGACGATTTTTTTCCCTAGAGTTTTTTCATAAATTTTTTGGAAAAATTTCTTTTTACATTTCTAGTTTATTTTTTCCCCTCTATTTCTCGTATACGAACTTACATGTTAACCGATGGGTCTCGTCCCCAAGGGGTTCGGAAACCAAGTGGTGCTCTGTACTAGCCCAATAAATAATCAAGACAAGAGCTTCAAGAAACATGTTTTCTACCTTATTTGTCTTTTATTTATTTTTTCTTAATTTTTAATTCAGGTTGATGATGTGCTACTTCGGAAAGATGTCGACTTGGTGTTTATAATTTGTCAACCAGATCTTCATGCCCAAATTGCTGTCAAAGCCCTTGGCATTGGCAAGCATGTTCTGTGTGACAGACCAGCTGGTCTCTGTCAGGTAAGTAATATTGATGACATTTAACAACAATAGCAAATAGCTTCATATTGTGTTAACCACTGTGATGCGCCGAGTTTATTGTGAAATTCCCGCTGTGCGCGTGAAATCAAGTGTTCCCCAAAAATTCTTTTTTCGTTGTAAAATGATAAATTCCCTTTCCTGAACATGTCTATGTAAAAATAAATACCAAATTCCACTTACTTTGGCAGTGGGGACATAGACAAGATGCGCTGTGACGTCATCAGGGGCTGGTTGCCTGTGCGTGACACGCCCAGACACAGTTGCGCAGGCCATTCAAGCACCACATGTTGCCACAAATATATTTTCAATTATTTGTTCTATGTATTTCCAATGCAGTTTTATTTTTTTTATCTTATATGATGCATATTTGTGTCCTTTACAATATGTGTAAGTAAAACTCATAATGTTCCATGGTACTGTGATGCATGTGTCCGTAATGTGTTCACAATAAATGCTTATTGTCCAAATATTATTGTTCAAAATTCATTAAAATTACAATATGTACAGTTTCACACACTACACAGTAACACACTGTATTACACACTCAGTACCTCGGAATTGAGTAATAATGAACGAAGTAGTCCATGGTGCACAGCGCGACTTCGCTCTCGCTGCACCAAGTACAGATAGATTTTCGCTTACCGTTTGTTCGTTCTGTGTGCTTGCAAATAACGCACTCACATACACCCTTGGCTTTAGTACTTGTAGGTTGTATGTAGCCAAGCTTGTAAAGCATCTTCTTGAGATGATTTCGGGGCTTTAGTGTCTCCGCGGCCCGGTCCTCGACCAGGCCTCCACCCCAGGAAGCAGCCCGTGACAGCTGACTAACACCCAGGTACCTATTTTACTGCTAGGTAACAGGAGCATAGGGTGAAAGAAACTCTGCCCATTGTTTCTCGCCGGCGCCTGGGATCGAACCCAGACCAAGGTAAAGCAAGGTCTGACCGGGCACCACGGCTGCTCTCATCCTGTACAACACTTAGATAATACACACGAGAGGTTAAGGAAAGTTAGAATTCATTTCCCACTCCCTTTCTTGGAAGAATGCCACATATGATCGGGATTCCTCCCTTGCTCCTAACTAACTCTATGGCTGTTTTATACCTCTGAATCAGTTCCTCACTCCTGACTCGACCAACATCATTTCCTCCCACGCTAATGCAAATAATGGGATTGTTCCCATTACCAGCCATAATATCATTCATGTTGTTTATAATATCACCAATGCCAGCTCCGGGATAGCAAACCCTTAACCTGTTCCCCCTATCTCTAGCACAAAACGTTCTATCCAAATACCTTATCTGGGAATCTCCCACAACTAATGTTTGCTTAGGTACTTCCTTTACTTTCTGAGGGGCCTGCGCTTCCTTTCTCTTCGTTGCTTTCCCTTTTGCGCGATCCACAGTCTCTCCACAGCACTCGTCCTCCAAAACGTCAAAAGAATTTGAAGTTGCTATGGCGTTTGAAGGCGGCTTTATCAAAGTCTTCTTAAGGCCCCTGTCTTTCGCAACTCTCCAAGACGAGGTCCCTTTACTGCTGGTCTAGTATTTCTTATGATTTTGGCTATGATGAATTGTTCTAAAATTAATGGTAATTCCTGTACTGTAGTGTATAGGCCACTCCACATTCCCCTTATCCCCCCAGGTGGTCCCTCCCAACGCTTCCCTCTCTCCCAACACGACCCATCCACCCCACCCCCTCTTATACCATGCACCTCGAGCCACAGCCGTACGGGATTAATACGGTACGGCCCGCGGCCTAGCTTTCATATCCGGACAATTCACTCCTTGTCCGGCTGACTGTCCGGATAGTGCAATATCGGCAGCAAGTTAACCGGCCCAGATATTTTATCTGGACAAATACCTGATTTTCTGGCTCCTATGGACATTTTGGCCGGATATTGAGATACCTTTATCCATTCACGATTTTGGCCGTATAAGGGCGTTTTCCGCATATTCGAATCCCGGATAATCGAGTGTCTATAGTAAGTGAGAAGGTGGTGGCGGCCAAAACTGTCAGTAGTTTCAAAGTGTTAAATGACAAAGAGTACTGAGAAGACGGGACACCACGAGCATAGCTCTCATCCTGTAACAACACTTAGATAATTACACACGAGGAGGTTAGAGGAGAGGTTAGAAGCATTAAACATGCCAAAACTAGAAGACAGAAGAAAAAGAGGTGATATGATCACTACGTACAAAATAGTAACAGGAATTGATAAAATTGACAGGGAAGATTTCCTGAGACCTGGCACTTCAAGAACAAGAGGTCATAGATTTAAACTAGCTAACACAGATGCCGAAGAAATATAAGAAAATTCACCTTCGCAAATAGAGTGGTAGACGGTTGGAACAAGTTAAGGGAGAAGGTGGTGGAGGCCAAGACCGTCAGTAGTTTCAAAGCGTTATATGACAAAGAGTGCTGGGAAGACGGGACACCATGAGCGTGGCTTTCGTCCTGTAACTACACTTAGGTAATTACACTTAGGTAATTACACATGGTCACACCTTTACATCTAAATTTGCTGAGACTACTAACTTTAATGAGAAACTATCTGTCACTGCTTCCTTCGTGCCTGATCTTTCTCCCTCGCTCTCCTTTCTGGATCCTATGCCTTTGCTGTCTGTTCGCATTATTCGTTCTGTAATTATTACACCCTGTATTGGTCAAATCAGCCTGCTCAGATCTTGAGGTATACTAGCCCAATAAATAATCAAGACAAGAGCTTCAAGAAACATGTTTTCTACCTTATTTGTCTTTTATTTATTTTTTCTTAATTTTTAATTCAGGTTGATGATGTGCTACTTCGGAAAGATGTCGACTTGGTGTTTATAATTTGTCAACCAGATCTTCATGCCCAAATTGCTGTCAAAGCCCTTGGCATTGGCAAGCATGTTCTGTGTGACAGACCAGCTGGTCTCTGTCAGGTAAGTAATATTGATGACGTTTAACAACAATAGCAAATAGCTTCATATTGTGTTAACCACTGTGATGCGCCGAGTTTATTGTGAAATTCCCGCTGTGCGCGTGAAATCAAGTGTTCCCAAAAAATTCTTTTTTCGTTGTAAAATGATAAATTCCCTTTCCTGAACATGTCTATGTAAAAATAAATACCAAATTCCACTTACTTTGGCAGTGGGGACATAGACAAGATGCGCTGTGACGTCATCAGGGGCTGGTTGCCTGTGCGTGACACGCCCAGACACAGTTGCGCAGGCCATTCAAGCACCGCATGTTGCCACAAATATATTTTCAATTATTTGTTCTATGCATTTCCAATGCAGTTTTATTTTTTTTTTATCTTATATAATGCATATTTGTGTCCTTTACAATATGTGTAAGTAAAACTCATAATGTTCCATGGTACTGTGATGCATGTGTCAGTAATGTGTTCACAATAAATGCTTATTGTCCAAATATTATTGTTCAAAATTCATTAAAATTACAATATGTACAGTTTCACACACTACACAGTAACACACTGTATTACACACTCAGTACCTCGGAATTGAGTAATAATGAACGAAGTAGTCCATGGTACACAGCGCGACTTCGCTCTCGTTGCACCAAGTACAGATAGATTTTCGCTTACCGTTTGTTCGTTCTGTGTGCTTGCAAATAACGCACTCACATACACCCTTGGCTTTAGTACTTGTAGGTTGTATGTAGCCAAGCTTGTAAAGCATCTTCTTGAGATGATTTCGGGGCTTTAGTGTCCCCGCGCCCCGGTCCTCGACCAGGCCTCCACCCCCAGGAAGCAGCCCGTGACAGCTGACTAACATCCAGGTACCTATTTTACTGCTAGGTAACAGGAGCATAGGGTGAAAGAAACTCTGCCCATTGTTTCTCGCCGGCGCCTGGGATCGAACCCAGAACCACAGGATCACATGTCCAGCGTGCTGTCCGCTCGGCCAACCGGCTCCCTCGCTCGCTCCGACCGGCTCCTCCAGCATAAGGTAGTATTGAAAAGATTATAGGAAAAGATAAATTTGTAAGGTAGTATTGAAAAGATCGCTTTGTAAGGTCCCACTCAGTAAGAGATTCAGCCACCCTTGAAGAGTGTCCATCAATCTAAAAGAGATTCAGCCAGCCTCAAAGAGTGTCAGTCAATCTAGAAGTTAGTTGATTACCTGGTTGATGGGGTTCTGGGAGTTCTTCTACTCCCCAAGCCCGGCCCGAGGCCAGGCTTGACTTGTGAGAGCTTGGTCCACTAGGCTTGGAGCGGCCCGCAGGCCCACATACCCACCACAGCCCGGTTGGTCCGGCACTCCTTGGAGGAATAAATCTAGTTTCCTCTTGAAAATGTCCACGGTTGTTCCGGCAATATTTCTTATGCTTGCTGGGAGGACGTTGAACAACCGCGGACGTCTGATGTTTATACAGTGTTCTCTGATTGTGCCTATGGCACCTCTGCTCTTCACTGGTTCTATTCTACATTTTCTTCCATATCGTTTACTCCAGTACGTTGTTATTTTACTGTGTAGATTTGGTACTTGGCCCTCCAGTATCTTCCAGGTGTATATTATTTGATATCTCTCTCGTCTTCTTTCTAGTGAGTACATTTGGAGGGCTTTGAGACGATCCCAATAATTTAGGTGCTTTATTGCATCTATGCGTGCCGTATATGTTCTCTGTATTCCCTGATTCCCTGAAGTGATTCAGCTATTCTTGTAAATATCTATGGAAAGCACCACCATGGAAGCCGCTAACACTGTTCATCTATGCTACTTGTATCAGATGCATCATCACTGAACGCAGAAAACGATTCATCTAAGTATCATCTATATAAATTGGAGATGGCATAGGTGGGCAAGGATGGTGCTCAGCACTACAACTGAGCTGCCAATAAGCTTGCTGTATTGTCCTCATAGGTGCGGTATCACTTGCATCTGACATATGTGTTAGGTCCTTATTGCGCCTAGCTTCACCAGTATCATGACCCTTATGTTCTTCAAACAATAAGGTTTGAATTTCATCGACAGCGCGCGGTATTTCAACACCGCGTCGGACAGGTGTTTGGGAGCCAGTGGTGCGTGCGCTACCCATAGTTGCTCATTTAGCCAGCAGCCCTAGAACATTCTGGGAATTTTTTTCAAGATGGCTGCCTCTCACTGGAGGTCCTAAGAATCCATTTCGTACACAACTAACCAAATATCGCACATTTTGAATGGTTACGAAAAATCAAAAAGATTTTTCTCGGTTGGTGCAATTTCCCACCGACTAAGTTTTCTCTGCAAGTTTTTCTCTTAAGAGTTATTTCTAAGAGTTTTTCTCTTAGCCGCAGTGCAGTGGTTAAAGTACTGTATTGATTTAACTTCCATTTATACTATTTTTACAGACGATACACTAAAAGGGTTGGTAGTATATTTGAAAGACTCAAAATTACTATAAGACAATATAGATTGGCTTTTCCATTCACCTTAGCTCTAGGATACTCGAACCATGGACCCCACGCATGTGCAGCAGAAGTTCTATCGACCGAGCTATTGAGTACTGTAGTCTTAATAAGGACAGGCTGGTGGCAGTTCGGCTCCCTCTTCCCTCCAGTGGGTGGGGAGGAGATGTAGCTAACAAGTTAGGGATTAGTTGGACAAAGTTTTGGCTGTTCATTTTCTTTATGGGGAAGTTGTTTTGATATTTTGAAGGTGTAGGTCACATTTTTCAACCAGGCAGTAGTTGCAGTAGTTTGTTATGATTCACCTACCTTTACATACTGGGTGCTCTCCTGGTCGATGGCAAGATGATAAACTAAATGTAAAATGTTCATGAACTATTGCTTCCAGCCCCTCGGTGAGGGGGCTAGGTTCTAGCTCTGGTCCCCAGTAGGCATATGATAACTCTGCGACTGATGGCTCCAAGCAGTATTGCATTTAATCAGTTAGCTAGCTTCAGGGTGCCTCCAGAACTCGCCCAGAAACTGGCGTTTCATTACATTCAATACTGTTTTTTTACTATTTCTTTAGAAGTAAAAGTGATAAGGCAATGCATGATAGATAGGTAGTAAGTAGAGCAAAAGCAGAGTGTGTTGGGATTATGCAGTGTAGCAGTGGCACAGACAGAAGCGTGATGAGACGAAGAAGGCAGTGGCAGGCAGTGCCAGCTGCTAATAACTACTTTTGCTGCTATACTACTTTAACTACTTTTTAAACTCGAGTTGTTTCAGAGTGGAACTAGTTGCGGGTGCCTGGTGCATCTATACCTCTGCAAGCAGTCGTTCTTCCTGATGACCAAAAAAACTTCGTATGTTAGGTCCAATCCCAAAGTCGTCGAGATGTCCTTTCTCTCTCATCTTTCTTTTGCTTCGCCCTAAAGAAACTGCTGGGAATGAGGTCAGCTCCTGGGGTCACTCACTACTGGATACTGCCCTATTCTTCTTTTTACTGTAATTAGTTCTGCTTAGAAGCTTAGGTTAACGATATCTATCCAGCAGTGATGAAGCGGCAGGTGACAGATGTGTGACCTCCGTGTCTCTTGGGCATAAAGTGACCTGTCTTGGTTAACCCTTGTGCTCTCCTTGCATGACATCATCATCTTGCTTAACTGTGATTGGTTCTAATAGGCTGCTCCATCTCGGTTACAATAGCAACTAGAACTTCTAGCATAGAATTTCTGGGATTCCCATATCCTGGCAGGAAAGAGACCTCGTCTTCCTGAGGCTTTCTCACCACATAATTAATCATATGAAGGAATTATTAATTGTAATCTGTGATAGAATGCAAATGTTTTCCACCACTGTGAACTGTCCCAACATTATAAGTTTGTGGACCACTTGGGGTCCACTTGTGTGGTCCACTTGTGTGGTCCACTTGTGTGGTCCACTTGTGTGGTCCATTTGTGTGGTCCACTTATGTAGTCCACTTGTGTGATCAAACTTGTAATATGAAGGAATTTTTAATTGTAATCTGTGATAGAATGGGAAAGTTTTCCACCAGTCTGTGAACTCTGTCTCGACGTCATAAGCAAATCCGAACATCCCACACTTCAGCGAACCACTGTTCATCGAACCGGGTGAGTGAATCCGGCCTGAAAAGTGTGAGAACTAGCCGGAGATTTGTTGAATCAGGGTACGTTGACTCGAGGTTGTACTGTATATTGGTATCTATTTATTTACACCACCCAATACAGTACTGTATTCATTAATTACATCCCTTGTAATCACCATACAATACGCAGTATTTATTATACACCAGGTTTGCATTGCATCTTTTGTTTGCAAACCACATCAAGATCAAAAACCACATCTAGTATCGGGCCCCTGCGAAAGGGAGATGGAACTTTCACAGATGACAACAAAGAAATGAGCGAAATACTGAGGAATCAGTATGACTCTGTTTTCAGCGAGCCACTAAACACACTGAAGATTAATAACCCAAATGAATTTTTCATGGATATGATACCAACATCAAATCATATATCAGATGCCACCCTATCCCCACTGTATTTTGAAGAAGCCATAGACAGGATGCCTATGCACTCTGCACCAGGCCCTGATTCTTGGAACTATATATTCATCAAGAGCTGTAAAAAACTGCTATTGCAGACCCTTCATATTCTTTGGAGACAAAGCTTAGATACTGGCATTATCCCTGACATATTAAAAACAGCAGAAATAGCACCACTTCATAAAGGAGGAAATAAGGCAGAGGCAAAAAATTACAGATCAATAGCACTAACATCACACATCATAAAAATCTTTGAGAGAGTGCTAAGAAGTAAGATCACAAAATACATGGAATCACAGCATCTCCATAACCCTGGACGACATAGTTTCAAAACAGGGCGCTCTTGCCTATCACAGTTGCTGGACCACTATGATATGGCATTAGATGCTATAGAAGACAAACAAAACGCTGATGTAATTTACACAGATTTCGCAAAAGCTTTCGACAAATGTGACCATGGTGTTATTGCACATAAAATGCGTTCAAAAGGAATTTCCGGAAAAATAGACAGATGGATCTACAATTTCCTGACTAATAGAACCCAATGTGCAATAGTCAACAAAATAAAATCCGGACCATCAACCGTAAAAAGCTCAGTCCTCCAGGGTACTGTGCTTGCTCCAGTATTTTTTCTCATCTTCATATCAGACATAGACAAAGACACAACCTATAGTACTGTATCATTCTTTGCAGTTGACACTAGGATGTTTATGAGAGTAGACAACATAGAGGACACGGCAAACCTCCAATCAGATGTAAATCAGGTTTTTCTATGGGCTACAGAATATAATATGGTGTTTAATGAAGATAAGTTTCAGCTCATGTGCTATGGAAAAAATGAAAATATAAAAACGGAAATCATGTACAAAACGCAGTCAAATCATAACATAGAACGGAAAGGCAATGTAAAGGATTTGGGTGTACTGATGTCGGAAGACCTTACATTTAAAGAACACAATAAAGTAGCCGTCACAACTGCAAGAAAAATGACAGGTTGGATAACAAGAACCTTTCACACTAGAGATGCTATACCGATGATGATACTTTTAGACGCTAGTGCTCTCTAGAATGAAATACTGCTGCACAATGACAGCCCCTTTCAAAGCTGGAGAAATTGCTGACCTGGAGAGCATGCAGAGAACCTTTACTGCTAGAATCCACTCAGTAAAACATCTAAACTATTGGGACCGACTATAGAGCCTAAATCTGTATTCTCTTGAGCGCAGGCGGGAGAGATACATAATAATTTACACATGGAAAATAGTAGAGGGGCTGGTCCCAAATCTGCACACAGAAATAACAGCACATGAGACCAGAAGGCATGGCAGGATGTGCAGAATACCCCCGTTGAAGAGTAGAGGTGCAACAGGTACCCTGAGAGAGAACTCTATCAACATCAGAGGCCCGAGACTGTTCAACACACTTCCACTACACATGAGGGGCATAACTGGCCGACCCCTCACAGTGTTCAAGAGAGAACTTGACAAACATTTCCTAAGGATATCTGATCAACCAGGCTGTGACTCATACGTCAGGCTGTGAGCAGCCTCGTCCAACAACCTGGTTGATCAGTCCAGCAACGAGGAGGCCTGTTCAATGACCGGGCCGCGGGGTTGCCGAGCCCCAGAATCACCTCAAGGTAACCCTCAAGGTAACCATCTTCTGTGCTCGTTTACACCATATGTTAATTTTTTCAAATATATTGGCCAAGGGATATCTCCCTTGACGGCTCTCATGCAATTAAACCATTTCGAGTACTACTGTATTGAGTTTATTTTATATATTTCAATTTATTTGAATGTTTACCAATACAACAAGAGAAATGTAATGAGTTATGAATCTACAGTAATATATTTGTCATGGTTGTGACCTTAGTGTATGTATGCTTTTTTTTTCAGTTGGAGGTGCTGAAGATGGTGCATGCTGCTCAGTACTACCCATCTCTCATTTCTGTCATATCCCATGGACTTCGATTTCTCCCAGCATTTGTACACATGAAGCGGCAGATTGAAGCAGGTTATGTAGGCATAGTCAATGTCTGCGACGTGAGGGTACATTGTGGCAGCATGATCGGAAATCAGTTTGACTGGATGTGCAGTCATTTAATGGGTGGGGGTATTTTGACTATGGTTGGTAGTCACATCATTGATATTGTCTCTTTTGTTACGGGACAGCGAGCTAATCGCGTTCACGGCATGATGCGCACTTTTACAAAAAGCACCGAAAAAATAAATGGAATTCGATGGATTGATAGTGATGACTTTTGCAGCTTCCAAATGATTTTAGATGGTGGAGCTTGTGTAACAGCTACCCTTAATAGTCACATGGCAGGAGGTTTCATTCAGGAAGTGGTTGTATGCGGCAGTCGGGGAAGATTGGTCGTCCGTGGAGCTAACCTCTATGCTCAGAGCAATGTTACAGAAAAGGAAGAGCTACTTCATGAGGGCCCAGATGATGTGGCTCATCTCACAAACAAGAACAATAGTGCAAGGATCAACTCCCTATTACCACAGCCTTATCTTCAAGGACTCTTCAGGTTGGTTGGAGCTCTCAAAGAAGCTTTTGCAACAGGAGATGGGGAACATGGTTGGTTGAAAGAGCCTGTATCAAGTGCTGCCACCTTTGAGGATGGCCAGTATGTTCAAGCTGTCATCGATGCAATCAAACTTTCATCAGCCAGCCGTCAGTGGGAGCAGGTAACAGTAGCCAATGATGAGAATGAACTGAATCCTTTAATGACCCGCCTTAACCTCCCTAACATTAATATGAGCTCTTTGGATGCACTTTCTCAAGCTCCGACTAACAGACCTCCTCCTCAACGTAAGGTGACCAGTACGGAGTCCCACCTCCCGTGGAGCTTTGCTACCAAACACTAAAATATTTTTGGGGGTATCTTATTGCTTTATATGGTCTTGTGCATTAATGGGGTAGAGATTACTGTCTCAGAGTATTTCTATAAACAGGGCTTAGTATGGATGGTAATGCAATCTTAAAATGTAAATATTTGTGTTTCAGTAATTGCAAAGGAAGACATAAAATTGCAGTATTCTAGGCATTACTTTAAATGTTTATTTTAGTTATAGCTGTGCTCTCCAACACAAGAAGATGATGTGGCTTGCTTTTTTTTATCAATGTATACCTTTAAAGATACACTATTGCTTTTTGTTTATGAAGTATTTGTTAAGGAATGGCTTATCTTGCTTTGAGAAGATTAATTTAGTACACAATACTGTGTGTGTGTGTGTAAGCAAGTGTCAATTTTGTCTACAGAATTATTTGGTGAATTTTTTTCCAACCAAATATAAGTCACATTTTCTTAAACAAGCAATTCTCTCAAAGTGGATTTTTATCTTCAGACTGTACCAATGTAGGTATTTATACTTTCTTCGGTTTAGTCATACATGAAGCTTTATAAGTAACATTAGCTTTATTTCTTTAGCTTTAATGGTGTTAATAGCTGAAATAATTGTAAGGCAGTAGGGGAATGTACATGAAATAATATAGTTTAATGATTTTATACTCAGTTTTTGCTTTTACTTATTGATACATTGCTCTGCAATAAGCATGCATCCTGTACATTAATACTGTATACCAAATGTTTGTTCTCTTGTTTTTGGGAGAATTAATTCTAAAAGAGTAAGTTTTCTGGAGTATTTTGTGCATACTTGAGTAACATATTCCCATGATGGTTCCATGAGCTGAATAACTGTAGCTACACAAGTACTTAACAATACATATTAAATATAAAAACAAAAACATACTGTAATTGTATCTTGTAGATTTGATAACATTTCTGAGCTGTTGTGTTTCATCATCAGAGCTTAAACTGGAAAAAATGTTTTGAATAATAATAAAAATTCATTGTCTCAGGGGGACAGGTAGCCAGTGCATATATATACATGTTAGGCTTATATTGAAGTCTTCTAGGGTTTAATTACTGACCCTTCCCAGGATGTAATGCCATAGTAGGCTGACTAACTCCTTAATAAAGCAGAATGAAATACATTTAGTGAATATAATATGAAACATAGTTAATAAATAGGAAACCACCAAAGCCAGATACTAATAGATACTTTAAATTATAATATCAAGATAGTTTTGGGTCAAAAACAACAAGATATTAATATAACAGTGAGAGTTTAGCTAAACTTGAGCTGAATAGAAGATAAAACATGGTAGTGTAAAAAAAAAAAATATACAGTGGCACCTCAAATTACGACTGCCCTTACTTATGAATTTTTGAGTTACGACGTAAATTTTGTCGAAAAATGTGACTCGACTTACGACCTTTGCCTCGACTAACGACTTTGTTGATACGCTTATTTTTCTGTGGGGAGCCCCTACGGCTCCCTGGAGCTTATCGGGCTAATGTGTGTTATGTTAGACCGGGACATTAGCTAAGGAGTTCAGACCTACCAGGGACCAGCGCCAGAACCTGGCCCCTTCAGAGAGGTTTCAGGGAGCAATGGCCCTGGAAAACCCCATATGGTTGGGGGTTTTCCTTATCTGCCATCGACCGGGGTTAGGCACCCAGAAAGGTAGGCGTAACAAAACAAACCCCACATGGTAAGAAACTACAACAAAAACCGAACAGAGAGGTAGAAAACTCCCTACAATCCCAAGGAAACAAGCAAACAAGCAAACATCACACTTTACTGCCGCGCCGATCGTCCGCGCAGCCCTCCCCACCCCGGGAGGGGGAGGGGGGAGCCCCGGACCTACCGCGCCGGCTGCCAAGCTCCAGTTCGTTCGCTAATGTCAACCGGGATTGACGCTTCTCTGGCCTCAGTTTCCTAGGCGGTGTTTGCCTTGTGTGGCGTTCACTGCCGTGTGTTGTGGTGTGCGGTGGCCAGGAGTACTTCATCAGTGCCGGGGCTGCATGTGCTTAGTGGCTGCCTTCCCTAAGCGCCCTGTGAGTACTGCCCTTGCGTTACAGGGTTATCTTCCCTGGGGCGTTCGGGAACCATTCCCGTAGAGGTTCTTGCTGCTCGGCATTTGCCTCGCCCTTGGGGCCAGCTGGGGCTTGGGGCCCTTGTTTGGCCCTGGGTAGGGATTGGTATTGTGCTGGTTAGGGCGTCAAGGTGTTGCGCAGCCTGCCACCTAAGCGGCGGCCGGTTTCTGTTGCCTCTGGAGACGGTGTACTTTTGCGGGGTTTTTCTTTTGTTTTTCATTTTCTTGCCTGGTGGGGGTCTGCCTAAGGTGGTTATAGTTCCACTGGTAGTGTTTGGCGGCCCTCTGCTAGGCCCCCGTGCTTGTACACGTCTCGAGGGGTTTTCAGTGCTATAATCTACCCTCTTGTTATGTTTGGGTTTCTTAACCGGTTAGCAACACCTTGCCCGGGCTTCCCGTAGTTGTTACCCTACGGGCCCTGGAAACCCCTGTCTGGGCTCGGGGGACCATTGAATGTGTCTTCCGGGTTCCAACCCGTCTTGTACGGGATCGTTGGTTGCTGTTCCCTTGTCTCCGGGTGACAGTCGCCATTTTTACCTCCGTCATGCTGCCTGTTGGGTCACTGACACCTTGACCCGGAGTCTTGCGAGTGATTCTCTGCTTGTTCTCCAGTACTCTCCTGATGTTATTACTGTTCAGAGTACAGGCGGCATCCGTGTTGCAAGCTAGGTTCGGTTGCTGCAACATGCTAGGTTGGTTTCCCACTCGAATGCCCCGTGGCCGCCCCGTTTGGTTAGGTGCTGCTCGCCCCTTTCTCTCCATGTTCCCGGCTCCGGACCGTCTGCGTGTTTCTGGGTCGGGGCGGGGTTCAGTTGCGGCAGAGACTCGGGCGGTTTTCGGGGGATGCCCCGTTCGGGTTGGGGACGGAGGTTTGAGCCTGTGCCTCCTGCCAAGGCTTCTGGGTCTTACCAGCGGCCCTTTCTTGTTGCCTTTCCCATGGGCTCTTGCTTTTCTTTCAGGGCGGAGGGCTTGGAGGACGGCTCTGCCCCGGGGCCTCTGTTGTTGGTTCCCGGGGCTGTGGGGGATGCCTACTAGCAGTTCTGGGGCGGTTTTGCCCCTTCAGGGGTTTTTCTGCTGTTGGGCGTCGTTTTTCGCCCTTCCAGTCTGCTAGCTTCCCACATTTGCTGGCGTGTTTTTGTGTATTAAGCGTCAGTCACAGCCCCTGCTGGCGGCCATTTTCGTCTGCCGGTTTCCCGGCGTGGCCACCAGGGCGGCGTTGCGGTTTGTTTACATGCGCCTGGGTGTGCGAGCGAGCGTCTCTGGTGAGTTTTCAAAAAATTTGCAGGGTTTTTGTTCTCCTGTTGTCGTTTCTTTGTTTTTCTGGTGTTTTCTTGCCGTTGCCTGTTTCTCTGGGAACGTTTGGGTGTTGATTTGGGTCTGAGCCTCTGGGTTTAGGCTCAGTGCCCCTGGCTGGTATGCTTGCTCCCACACCTTGCCCCTCGGTTTTCGGTCTGTTGGGACCGTTTTCCCAGGGCGTTCTGCTGGGGTCTGTGCTTTGCCTTTTAGTGGTGTTCTCCGCTGGCAAATGTGGTGGTTTGGGCTCCCCCTGGTTCGATTCTGGGTTCCTTTGGGTTCCTTGGTTTCGTTCTGGAGGTTTCTTCCTCTTGGGCCCCCTTTTGTGGGTTCAGGGGACTTTGTTTCCTCATGTGACCCGGTTCTGCCTTTTGGGGTTCCGGGGTCTTCCTGGCTTGCAGACTGAGCTTTTTGGGTCTTGGCACATGTTGTGGTTGTGCTGGGACTTTGTGGTTTTGCTGTCGAGGTGGGCCTTTTGATGCAGTTTTGTGCCTTCTTTGCCTGGCCGGCGTAGTGCTCTTTGCCACTAGTCGGCGGCTTGTGCTTTTACACTATATGTCCTCACCTAGTTGTGCTTGTGGGGGTTGAGCTCTGGCTCCTTGGTCCTGCCTCTCAACCGTCCGTCAACAGGTGTATCGGTTCCTGTGCCTCTTGGGCTCTGTCATGTCTACATGTGACATTGTATGGGGGTCAGCCTCGTTCCTTGTGTGAGGAGTCGCCACATTACTTCTTAGTGCTTTCCCGTTCCCATTCTGACACTCACCAAAAAAAAAAAAAAAAAAAAAAAAAAAAAAAAAAAAACTAATTCTATCTGTGGCTCTTTTGGGTACTCAGTTTCCACCTGTGTCCCCTAGTGCGTGTGCCCCTTGTGTTACATAGCCTGTCCTTCTCAACCCTGTCGATTCCCTTGGGTATCTTGTATGTGGTGATCAGGTCTCCCCTCACTTCCTCTTCCAGCGAAGTGTGGTTTCATTCCCGTAGTCTCTCCTCATGACTTCGGTAGTGTACTTTTTCTTTCTGAAGGGGTTCTGTTCCCTTCTCTGTTGACTGGGCGCTGGGGGAGCAGCTTGCTCTGTTGCCTCTCGCTTGGTCCCGCTGTTGGTGGGCGCTTTGGGTTGTCTTCCGGCCTCTGCTGGCGTCGGAGGACGGCTTCTCCCCCTTGGGGGGGGTTCAGAGCTGGCGGGGTGGGCTTCTTCCCTGCGCTTCGTCATTTCCTCTTCGTGGGTGCGTGGGGCGTGGTCGATCCGCCCCATCCTTCTGGGCTTCCCGTCTGCTCTTTGCAGTCATGAGCTTTTCCCGTCTGCTCTTTGCAGTCATGAGTTTTTCCAGTCTGCAGTTCTTCTGGACTACTTCCGTCTGCGCCCTGGATCCTCTGCCCTGCTCGGAGGACTGTTGTCTCCTGTTCGGATTCTGTTAGGGCCGGGTGCATGGATGGTGGACCTGGACCTCCAGGTCACTTCTTGGCACGTTCCTCTCCAGTTTTTCTGGGGCTAGCACGGTTGGTAATTCCCTATGTGTACTTACCTCAGTGTAGTTACAGGATGTGAGCTACTCTCGTGGTGTCCCCTCTTCCCGGCACTCTTTGTCATATAATGCCTTGATTATACTTGTCATATTGTCATATAATGATTGTCATATGTCATAATGTCTTCATATGGTTGTCATACAATGCTTTGGTGGTGGGGCTTCAGGTTTGCTGTTTTTATTGCATTCCCTATTTTGTGAAGGGCACTTTGTATACTCTTTGCATCTTTACCGGATCTTAGTGCCCTGTCTGCGTCTGAGATTCGGTGTCTGGCCTACCTCGACGACTGGCTGGAGTGGGCTCCCAGTCAGTCCGCTTGTCTGCTCGCCAGGGGATGGTTCTTTCCAGATCGCTGGGTTTGGTTTCCTGGTGATCTGGAGGTTTTACCTTCTGTTTCCGTCCCGGGTTCGGACCTGGGCCTTGTTTCAGGCTCTTGGGCCCCTCATTGTCTTCCCTCCAGAAGTGTTGCTGTGGCTGTGGTCCCGCCTTTGGCTGTTCAGGAGGGGGTCCCGGGTTGCTCAGCGGTTGCTTGGGCGGTTGTGCGGGAGTTTGCACTTCGGCGTGCTTATCTGCCCGCGGAGTCGGGTTTGGCTCCGGCGTCGGTTGGTTCCTACGGAGACTCCACTTCCGCCTCTTGCATTCCTTGGGTTCCTCTGGGGATCTGGTGTTGGTGCTGCGTCACCAGCTTCCTCTTTGGGGTTTTCGGGGTTCCGTGCCTTGGCGGCTCCCCGAGCCTTCGCTCGATGTGT